TAAAAATGTGACTAAACAAACAAAAACACAAATCCACAATTTTACTGATAAGTAAACTTTATAATTAAACGCATAAAACATAAGCTTATTGAATTATGTTCATAAAACAAAATCTACATGCCTATGGCCACTGTTGGCAAATCTGTTGATAACTAATTGTTCATTAATCTCAATGTCCGGATGAGCGTTAATAATAGCTAAACCAGATAGCCTATCTTCCGAAATAGTAGATCTGAGCCAACTTTTCATCCGCCTCAACGAAGAAAAACTTATTTCTGATGAGGCAACACTGATCGGAAGTGTAATGAAAATTTCAAGAAATGATGAACAGGAAGTTTTTCTTCGCTGGCTTTTAACCACTTCGCCTTCCATAACTTCAGTTCGCTTTTGAATTCTGTGAATAAAACCTCCTCATTTTGATGAAAAAGTTTGTTGAATTTTTTCACTAAGGCTCGTGCCATTGAATCCAGAGATGTCGTACCAATTTCCCTTATTAACGTGGGTTAACCGCCTGACCGCCTGTGTCGTTTTCCCATATTCCCACTGCATACAAGAATATTTCTATATAATATTTGTATATGATAATGAATGAAATTCAAAAAAGAGTTGATTTGGCATGTTCGAGTGTTTGAGGAACCATTCAATACGAAAACTACGAGTACGAATAATTTTGGTTTGTATAACGTAGCTTTGGTTGCATATCCAGACTGATTGTTGAACCAATATCATCTACTTATTCAGAGCTCTGGGGGGGGGCCATGGCCCCCATGGCCCCCCCCTCAGATCCGCCAGTGGTGTGAATACCCTCATGTTTCAATGAAGTACCAGATTATAGCTGAAGGACTGGGCTATCGAACAGTGTGAACCAAATTCAAATTGTTCTAAACTGAAAAAAGTTATTCACATTATAACAGGGGCGACATTTTGGTGTGCGACGAAATTAGTGTTGAGTAGTTTAGTATATTACACACCGAGGTGGGAAGTGATTCATTCCTGGCGTGAGATTAGTTAGTTAACCGAGACGCAAAGCGTCGAGGTTAGCTATAATCTCGAGACAGGAATGAAACTTCCTACCCAGGTTTGTATACTATTTTATTTACAACCATCATATATCGATATCGAAATATTACATAATTGAGGGCGGGAAGTGAGGGTGGGAAGTAGAGGTGTGTAATATGACAGTTCCCAACCTTCAACGAAGTTAGTAATGACAACATTACATATATGGTTGTAAATAAACGATATTTCCTCATTGCACCAAGGATTGTGGTGGTGGCAAATGTGGATGCCAGAAAGCAATGCTGAACTGTTCTGTGGCATGCCTCTCTTTTCTTTTTACCCCTTCTTTGGGCATAATGTAATTGTTCAACTTTATGGCTGTACGTAGGAAATTTTTTATTGTAAAAATGAATCCGTTTAGTGAATAAATAAAATAATAATGAAATATACTGCCAAGGAAAATGTCTCAACGGGGTGCCTGTTGTTGAGAACGACGACGATGAAGATGACCCTTCAGCAAGAGCTATCCAACATTGAGGATGAGGACGCCATGAACAAAAAACCTTCGCCAGGACCTTCATGGCCAAAGAGAATAAAGACGTGAATACAGAGAAAGTAGAGTGTTTGAAATTATCAAGTCATCTAGAGTGAGAACTATGAGAATAGAATAACTTAGCATATATGTGACTGTTTTCCTCATCTTTATAATACAATTTTCTTTTTCTCATGTAGAATCATTTTCGTCTAGTGCATAAAATAACCTATATTGCGGCAACACATTAGTATATTATGCAAAGTTGTAAAAAACAATTATTGTGACTCAGGGATGTCAAAAACAGCTTTTTCTAATAGTGAGGAAATTCACGGAAACCAATGGGTCAGACAATATATAGAAGTGTTTGATGAAAAATGAGAGATAATAATATTTTATTCGAAAATCTCCACTTTCGGGAGCATGCAGCTTGAAAACGATTAGAGATTCGGGAAGGGTGTATGGAAAGAAAGTTGTGAAGAATTTCATCAGGAAATGTTTTGCTACGATGAACCGTTTCCGACATTTAATCGATAAACCCCCCCCCCCCTCTGGCGATCACAACTTTCAGTATGTTGACTCTCTAAACTCCTGGAACGAGTTTCCAAACAAATCGCTAAGGTCCCTGCTCACGCAATATACAACCCCTTTATTGAGTAAACTACAAGGCATTTTTCGATAGCTTGCTACTAGACATAAGATACTTATCATCTCAAACCAGAGGCAGCTGAGCAGTTTTTTGCACAACTAACAAAAAAGTATTTTTAAAATCTTCGTTTTTTTTCATGTCTATCATATGATTTGGCAATGAATAAACTCATTTTTCTAAACCAAAAGCAGCTGAATAGTTTTATTCAAAATAGAAAAAAAATCCTTTTTTTTCCTGTAGTTCTACTATACAATTTGGCAAAAAACTATTCTTAAAAATAACATGATTCTAGATATAACTACCTATCTTCCTGACTCAAAAGCAGCTGAGCAATTTTGCAAAATGATTAAAAAATGTATATTTTTTGAATTTCCATTATGAATCTATACATATGATTTGGCATAGAATTATTTAATACCTTGGATTCTAGGCATACAGTGCTTTCACATTTCTTGCTCTTATTCCAGTAGATTATAGCCGGTATAGGGACATAATAGTATATTACATAATATGTGTTGTAAGAAGCATATTATGCACGAATGGAAAAGTGATTCCATGAGTGCATAATTGCTTTACAACACGCGTTACATACTATACCTCACCTACTGCCATCTTGACAGTTATGTCATCCGCTGTTGACGAAAACTGTGTGATGTGCTTACCGTGCGAAAAGAACTACTTACTGAGGCTGTGTCTGGTGTGTTCTTGCCTACTTTCTATAGTGGCCGTAGGTAAAGGCCTATTAATTATGATCATAATGTTGACAATACCACAACAACTCTTTAAATATGGTGTACACCCCGAGTTTCTAACAACTTACTTACTTTTCTATATCATTTCATTATTTCATCTACAACTGTCAAATAATGATTATGATTTGCCACTTTTTCGAATGTCATAATGACGCTAATTACCACACTACTACTATTTTGAATCTATTACCGCACTAGTGCGGTAATGAGGTAAGAAATAAATTTCAACAAAAAAAAAACTTTATTGAATAAATAGGAAGAAACCTCAGTAATTTTGTACTTATCATGCGATGGTTTTTTTTTCGAAATTTGTTTTTGTACTTACGTATTTTTGTCTGAAAAACACGAATTTGATAATGAAAATGTTAACAAACCACTATTTATTGAGATATTTCAAGAAAAAGTTCGAAGTTTCGCCTTCTTTCTCCCTTGTGTTGGATGCATTTACAGCTACTTGCTCTTCTTATTTTGTCATTGGACACTTTATATATCCTTCTCATGAGGTACTTCAATGACACATTTTTATACAGAAAATATAAAAGGAAATATGATTTTTATGGCGAGTTTTTCATATTTAGTGAACAAGCATACTAGATGAAGGCCATTTAATCAATAGTCAATCCAAATATGATATGTCAAATGACATTGAATGTCAGTAGATAGCAAATCAAAAGTTAAGATAGGGACATAAAAGCCGTTTTGACCAATGATGAATAGTTTTGACACAAAAAAATCCTAAAGTTGAAAAATCTGGATTTTTGAACACCCTATATCTCTGTAATCATTCTCGCTAGACCCCAAGTGTGATATAATGATGAAATCAGCTCTTCAGGAAGAATCTAAAAAGACAATGGAATACAGGGTGTTCCATTTGAAAAAATCACGTAGTACTCTGTAGATCGTTTGTTCCGAGCACCCTGAATTTTCTGATGCAACGGGAAAAAAATTCTGAAAAATCATTTCAGATTATTTTTCAAATTTTTAAATCGGTTCAAAAATAAGTGAGCTAGAGGAGGGGACATTTATGGTGAATCACCCTGTACAAGATATATGGAATTATTAAATTTGCAAGTGTTGAAAAAAAAAGAAGAAAAGTCTATTGTGAGGCAAGAATTTTTAAGGAATTTCAGTCTTCTGAATTGATTAAGCATTCCAATAGTGTGTTTTCCGGAAACTTCCGTCTTGGGTTCACTGTTAGACCTCTCTGAAAACAGTGGAATTGGATAATTTGGAGATTGGATTCGTTTTTGGAAAACTTCAATGTTTTTTCAGTCTCTCAGAAATTGGTTGCACAATGGTCAGCTGATATAAAAGTTGATTTGATGGACTGTGAAGGGGATTTTAATGGTGCCATCCAGAAGACAGAAGGAAAATAAGGTGAAATTTGTAACTTTATAGTGAAATATCTCAATAAATAATGGTTTGTTCACATTTTCATTATCAAATTCGTGTTTTTCAGACAAAAATCCATAACTACAAAAAAAAGCCATTGCATGATAAGTGCAAAATTACCAAAACCTCATACAACACTTGTGGCATTTTCAATTGGTTTAAGTTTGAAATTCATTATAGTTCTGAATTTTGCTTGCATGAATCCACCTTTATTCTTAAAAACCAAAATTACTCCTCAGTACTTCTCAATTACATCAATTGCTTTGTTACATGTTTTGAATATTTTCATTACTTACAAATATCACATACTTCATAAATATGGTTGTACACTTTTATGAGAGTTGTTTGCCCATCAGCAATAGCCAAGGTTGACCTAATAGGTATATAAATTGCAAACAGAAAGCAATATGAATTTTGAAAGTTGAAACCCAGCTGTAGAAAAGGAGGAAATGCGTGCCACTGGTCAAACGGACCAACTTAGAAATTTTGTCAGATAGCTTTGGAGGCCCTCTTGCAACATTTTCAGTGCCCGAGGTCCCTTCTGAGGGGCCCCAGAACTTCATATATAATTCAGATATGCCAGGACTTGCACTTCATGAAGTAGTTGTTTTCAATCGCTAATAGAAATTCCATATCAAAAAGTACTAGTATTTTACTTAGTAATTATTCCAATTACCTGTATACATAGACTGAGAGAGACCATAAGCAGCGGCACCACCAATAGCTAATAACTTCAGACCAATTCCAAGGCCAGGTGGTCCTCCACCTTTACTAAACTTGCCGGCTAAATCATTAAATTTACTTTGAGCCATTTCAGCAATATATTGAGATATTTACGAAAAATTACCAAAAACCATGAGCTCGTGAACACAAAATAAAATGGCTACTTGACACTTGACAGGTAATTTGATGATTTGAGATTTGACACTGAATGACACTAGACAATATTGACAGGATAATTGTGACAGTTGACATAAGACATGACACATATTGGCTATATGTCATTAGGTTTGTTCTCGTTCAAAAATCGGCTATATTCACTGAACTATACCCTACCCTGTTCCGAAATCAACGAATTTACTGAAAGTGACAGATGCTCGTGAGCAGACATACTATTCATTCCAAATATTTCGAATCAACACTCAGCTGAAATTGCTGACTATAGGTATCTTTTCGCGAAATCCCATTGATTTGCCGGGAACTGGTATTCAGTTCCCGTTGCATTTTCGCGTCATAACGGTAATAGGGGAGTATGATAATGACGTCATCAGTGACGTCACAATTTAGATAACGGGAATTGTTTTAGTTCCCGCATCTGTGAACATGGTTACTGGCGGTTATAGTAATTGACAAGTGACATTGTATCATTATTTTTAAAGTACTATATTATTATTAGAAGCATTAGAATTAAACATATTTATAAATATTAAAACTATTTTTGTGATACCTACTACTCACTTTTTAAATCAAGAAATGAAAGAACACCACCAAAAAATCATCAATCATCGACAGTACTGTTTGTTGATCTGTGGTACTGTTGGGAACATTTTGAGATAATTCTTGTTGAGTTGCCGGAGCCAACGATCATGCATACAAAATGCAACTGTCCATTTATATTAATCGAAAACAAAAACCTCAGCTGACAGAAATCTGAATGGTTAACCGGTTCATTTTCGTGAGAAATCAAAGGATGAACGGCCTTTGGTTTATTTTTTGGTGGGGATATAACCGCTCTATTACCGGTGGCTAATCAACGGGAACTCGCGAAAAAATACCTTATTATCAAAAGGAAGTGTGGCTTCGGTGAACTGTCATTATTTTAGAGGGGGGAGGAATGTAACATTTATTTCCGTTGTTTTACAAACAAACAAACATTAAGTCTTGTCTAAGCAATAATAAATTAATAATATCATTTTCAATATCTGAAAATACCTGTTAGTGAAATAATAAACGCTGAGAATGATATGGAGTATGGGGTAGTAAAGAAAACGAAAGGAGAAGCAGCATTGGCTAAATAAATCTTAATGAACCTGATATGTCTCCTGAATTCATCATCTGAATAATGCCATATTTTGTTTTCCATGAATCTTTCAATTCTCATTCTGGTGCATCATGAAAAATTAATGGCAACAAAATGTCCATGTAATCTTCATCACTCGATCTTGAATCGTCATATAACTATTTTTCGCGAGTTCCCGTTGATCAGCCACCGGTAATAGAGGGGTTATACCCCCACCAAAAAATAAACCGAAGGCCGTATATTATATGCTGCAATTTTATGTTGTCTATATCCATATCATCATAATTTAATACAATGTTTTGCATATAGGTTATTGAGAATTTTCACCCTATCTCGTCTACTCCCCAACATAAACGATATTTCATCATCGGAACTACCTACCAGAAGAACTGCTAGAGCAAAAACCAGTTGTGATTGTTCTTCGCTGGTCATGTCAAATAACTGCGTTTTTTTCAACACTGATGACTCAAACGTGACGTCACTTCCATCAATGATGAAAGGTCAAACATCTCAGATGAAAGCAATGACGGCTAAATAACTAGACTGTCTGACGGATGACCCGTCAGACAGTCTAGTTATTTAGCTGTCTTGGATGAAAGCTCTTTCTTTTATTCGTCTGAGCAATGACGGCTAAATGGACTGTCTGACGAGTACTACATGACTGTCCAATCACTCAGTTCAGTGTATTCTCCACCAGAGGGGTTTACTTGCCGTCCTTTGCGGAGAAGTCATTTGTTTAGCTCTTATTCGGTTGTTTTCCAATAACATAGGTTATATTGAATTATTATTTTAATTTTATCAAGTGTCAAAACTGTGTCACTGTCAGGTCCCTGATGTGTTCTGTTGAATATCGATAAATTCCTTTACTTTTTCGGATTTTCATTCAATCACGCATTCTTCTTTGTGTTTAGTTCTGGTAGTTTATTTATTCAGGTTTGCTAGTTGTGTTTTATTCATTATGTATTTACAGCCTTCTAGCGTATGAAATGAAATGTAGTGCTCATACCCAGTGATAAACTCCACAGCAAGAATGGTCGAATTTTATTTTGGAAGGCATTGGTAAGAATATGATTTTTCATGTACACTTTTCTGATGATTTTCAATTTCAGCCTCGATTCCACCATTATAACACTGGTGTTAATTCTGGTGTTGAAGTTTGTGTCAATGATTTTGGAAGACACTATAGAGTGATGATCAATATAGCACTACATATGGCGACTTATCAGGATCGGGACATAATAATTCAGAAAGGATCGCTTATTACCATAATTTTCAAGGTATGTTTAGTCTGCATTGTTGTTGGGTAGCTAGGTAGGGTAGGAGTAGTATTGTTGAAAACTGTTTCATGTGAGCCTGATGGTTCAAGCCATCAATGCAACGTATTCAAACTTAAATTACCATATACCTACAGGCATCCCAAAAAGCAACACCAAGAATGAAAGAGGAATGGAATTTAAGGTATGCTCTTTGAAACCCAGAGAATCATCAGTCTAGGTCAACATCTGGAGTTTTTTCGAGTGCCACAACTACAATACGAGGTATTTTGTGTTCTTGCTTCCTGGCAAATATCACAGAATAATGATATTATCAGAGATTTTCAAAAATGTTTTTCACTTCTGTGATGATTTTGTCACAAAAAATTTAAATTAATTATTTGGCCTAAGTTTATGTTCTATGTATGCCCATCTATCAATGAGATCCTGTATAGCTTTCTTGTTTTTTTGATAGAAGTATGAGATGGTATTTGAAATAAGGTCAAATGTTGTCACTGATACTAGCCCACTAACTATAGCTTCCCCAAGTAGATCTAAAAAGATGAAAAGAGTGCAAACTCAACTTTTGAAATGCATATAACTATTTCTGTCTCCACAAAGTTTTGAAAATGGTTGAAAAATATGGATTGATAGATAGATAGATGATATGTATAGAAAGCATTTATTCAAGTAATATAATAATTTTATTCCATACACAGTCACCATAATAAACAATTTCCTTTTCCATTGAATTAGCTGATGATGAGCTTATATTTGAACTCAAAACATGCTTCTTCTCTGCTGTTTTCTGAACAGATAATAGAAATTGTGGAATACACAATAATATATCATCTTCCTCTCTTATTTCCAGTGTCCAAAGGATCTCCAGGTAACCTAGCTTTATTCTCCAAAGTCAAGATCCCATATCCAAGCCGTTTTATATTCAATGTGTTGCCATCCCCAGAACCTATAAAGAAATGTTGCTATAGAACATTTAATGATTTTGAAGCTGGCATAGTTCTATCAATTTTGCAATACAATTTATCTGTATATCTGATAATATGAAATATATAAGTATGAAATGATAAATTGATATTTAATTTGCTATTGTAGTTAAAATGCCTGATTATTTTTCTGAACCCTCACCTAATTAAACAACTGTTCACAAAGCTCACCTTATAGTAAATATTCTGGTTATGCATAGATCATAGATAGCCTCATCAGAATTGAATGTCTCCAGTCATCATTCAATCAAATCTCATGAAGAGCTGCTTCAACATTGTGTTGAGAAAATTCAGTATCTTCCTGAAAATACAAATTAAGAAATATCACTTGAGATCACAGATTTTGTGAAACAATATGAAATGTTGCAGTACATTTCACTTTGAGAATACAGCAGTATCTGGTTATTAGGGCTACCATGGCTCTTATTAGGCAGTTAAAAATTCAATCAATGAAATAATTGAACATGTCCTTACCTATTCACGAATTGACGAAGATGATTTCCACTTGAATGGCATTATTATTTATGCATATAATAGCGATATTTGGCATGAACACTCCTAACCACTTCATTTTGTTGGCCTTTTCACAGTTTTACTTGGTATCTTGACTTGAACAAAGCTCTCTAATCTCGAGTGACAATGAGTGACAGGCTGACAGTGAGAAAATTTGTCAACAAATAATGCAGGATCATGAATGCAGGTTATGTTGAATAGCTCATTTGACACAGGAAATAGATGACGCCACTTGCCGTCCCTTCAAAATTTCATTACAGGGCGATTTGGCGATTTTCGCTGAATGAACAGTCATGTATAACCCGTCAGACAGTCCATTTAGCCGTCATTGGTCTGAGGATGAAAGGATGAAAGTGTGGTGTAAAAAAGAACGTACCTGTCACTCCTGTCAAAGTTGTCAATTCACTCAAAGTCAAATCTAAGATGTCAAATTAATCAATCATCATTCATCCATCTCTCCAAAAGTCCAAAATGTCTGATAAAAATGAGAAAAATCAACCGGAAAATAAAATTGAAGGAAATACTGATGGATTAGCTACATCTAAGAGGTAATCACATGAAATATTTCTCTTATAATATTCAACTTTCACACAGTACTTTTGAATTTGTTTCAAAGGTTGTTGTGATAAATGGATAAATACTGTGAAGGTTTCGTTTGATTGTTTGTGATATGGAAAAAATCATTATGATATGATACATGATGGATTATTTTAAAATCACGTCATACCTATGATCTGATTATGTAGTTTCAATGCGAATAGGAATAGGAAAATACATTGTTGAATTCATAATTCACATATACAGGAAGTTGAGTACAGTATTTAATGTTTTATTTCCCTAATTGCCTCATATCATTGAGCAGCTATGCTGTTTTTGCACTAAAACATGCTCTCTTTATTCCCCCAAAAACAGAACTAAAGTGTATCTTAGCTAATAGTAACTTATTAGGTATTTCCGAGGGTATTTCCGGGAATATCCAATGGTATTTGGAAGCATATGAAATAATCAACTGATACTTTTCAGTTCACAAATCAAGGGTGGTTGCGCACTCCATTTATCATGGAGTATAATTGACCACTGTTGAGCCCCCTGGTATATATGACAATTCACCATAAATTCACCCACCCCCCTTTCGCTCAGTCATTTTTGAACAGATTTCAGAATCTACAGGATACTAGTTGATTTTTTTGAATTTGACACCCTGTATTTCATTCAACAATCAGTTTGAGATTTCAAAATGAATCCAACAATACATGTATGATGGGTTTATGTCAAAGGAATATGAAGATATAGCTGATTTTCTGAAATTCAGGGTGTTTCAATGATACTGGGGTCATATTTTTTGGGTCAAAATACGAAAAAAAGTTTAATACACAGATGTCCGAAAACGATATATTTCCGAGATACAGGGTGCTCAAGTTTCCACAAAGAAATCGATTTTTTATTGATATCTAAAATATGCCTGAAGGGATAGTGATAAAATTCACAAAGTCTGTTGAAGTGAAATCACAATGAGGTATTTTTTCGACCTTATACAGTTGATAAAGTATAATCAGAGGTGCCCATCAAGCAAGTCCAATAGTTTTTTGCACAAAAAATAAAACCCACTAGATTTTGTATGAATTTTTGCATTTTTTTATATTGAAGCAACTCAAAATACATCTTTTTTGGCACCTGAGGTTTTTTTTATCTGGCTGCGTTTTATGTAACCATGGTGAAACAAGAACTAACTCAAATGTCAATTTAGAAATTAATAAAAAATAATTTTTTCAAGAAACTTGAGCACCCTGTATCTCGGAAACAAATCGTTTTCGGACATATGTTTTTATGAACTTCTTTTCTTATTTTGACGCAAAAAATACGACCTTGAAGTTTTGTGCAATATTAATGAAACACCCTGTATATTACGCTCAATGTGGGTGGCTCAATGAGTTGCTCTATAAGGGTTGTTGTTGATATCTTATCAATAATTAATACGTTAATTGATACGTTCTGTATATTATGTACATATTTATTTCGTCAGAAATCTAGTGACAAAAAAGAAAGAAAGTTGTTAATAATGTGTCAGAATTTTTATGAAAAAGTCATTAGAAAATATATCTTTAAAAAGTAAAACTGACGATTATATTCTACAGTCAAGAATATTGGTCCTTCAATCCTATATAAACACAGCCCTGCGGAAATTCAGCTAAAAGTTATCTACACAGTATTTTGAATGGAAAATCAATCTGAAAGAGCAGGTACCCGTAGAACAGCAGGTATCAACCCCAGATTGAACCCTGACTTCCTCTGGCCACAGGGGTTTGGAACAAACACTTCAAGACATTCAGTGAGACAGAGAACAACTGTTATTAGTGACAATGGCCTTGCGACTACGAACCAGACACGTAGAACTGGACATTCTAACAGTGTTCCTGCTATCTCCAGGACAGTCGCTCCTTCTGAAGTTCAATCCATGTCCGATAAATCCAAATCGACAAGGATTAGTATCGACATACAAAAGAAAAGACTCGAGTATGAAACTGAAAAAGCTAGACAAGCAATTGAAGAAGAAATATTACAAAATAGGTTAAGACTACTAGAAATGGAAAGAAAAATGCGCGAAGCAGAGATTTTGGAACACGAAGAAAGGATATCACGAAATAAGGGTTCTACCTGCCCTTCTCTTGTTATGTCTCACCATGCAGAGGGTCATGCACAGACAGGCCTGATACCTCCTACTGAAGCAGTAGATGTTGTACCGCCACCACTAAACTTACCATCGAACTCATCTTGTGGTGACTCTTATGTAGAAAATTGGTTGGACAACAATCCAGTAGAACAAAATTTAGAAAATCATCATACTGAGAGATCCGAAATACAAGTTCTTTGTGAGTCATTGGGAAATGTCCTCAAATCGATAGTGACACCATCCAAGTCCGAGAAGTTATTCACCAGACACGCGGTTGAGAGAGATTTTCCAATATATGATGGTAAACCAGAAGATTGGCCAACTTTTATATCCCAGCTGAGAAGAATCTCAACAATGTGTGAATATACACCGGAAGAGACAATGATGAAACTCCAGAAATGCTTGAGAGGGGAAGCGAAGTTTGCTGTAGCGGGAATGATGATATCTCCGAAGAACCTAGAAATAGTTATCAATACCTTGGAGAGGAGATTTGGAAGACCTGATCAAATTATTGAGGTTCTCACAAATAAGATCAGAATGTTCCATCCAGTCAAAGACATCAGCGAGGCTGATAACTTGATCAATCTAGCGAACCATGTGCGTTGTCTAACTGCAACCATAATAAATTTGGATGATCTAAAATATCTAGAAAACCCACAGTTATTGAAAGATCTCATGTCCAAGTTAACAGACTCTTTAAAACTTCGTTGGGGGGAAGTCGTGATGAAGAAATCTGGTAAAGTCAATCTGCAAGATTTTTCTGACTGGTTAGATGATCTAGCATCGGCAGCCTGTTATGTTAGTACTCCGAAAGTTACCAGATCTCATCGAAAATATTATGAAACTTCTTTGGTCACATCGACAGAGGCCGAGCCTTCGAGAGATCCTGCTCCTTGTCCTTACTGTATCAATGGTACTCATCGTATTAGAAATTGTCCACGTCTAAAAGATGACGACATCGAAACTAGATGGGCAACTGCTACAAGCAGGAAATTATGCTTCTCGTGTTTGAGCAATACTCACCAAACGAATAAATGTAAATACCGAAGATCTTGCGGTATAAATGGGTGTAAGAAACCACATAATAGATACTTACATAAAGAAAATGAGAATCAGAGGACTACGCCGACTACGACACATCTTCCATCTCTAATGACAATATCACCAGGTGAACTCCAACAGAAATCCCAAAATACTATGGAAGAGACCGTTTCCAACGATATCCCTAGAGTTCTGACCTTAAGTCATGGAGACCATATTCTTTTGAGGATGGTGAAAGTTAAACTATTTGGAGATAATGGATCCTCAATAGAAGTTGTTGCACTGAGTGATGAGGCTTCTACTGTTACTCTAGTTGACGAAACAATCCTGCAACACCTCGACTTGAAAGGGACTAAACAGCCGTTATGTATGCAGTGGACTAATGACATCAAATATCATCATGAAGATTCATTTTGTGTTAATATGAATATTTCGGGAATTTTTCCAAATGCCAAATTATTCACTATGAAAAATGTCAGAACTGTTAAGAATCTATCTCTACCACGTCAGGATATTTCATCAAATGAATGGAAGAAATATCAATATCTAAAGAATATTCCTTTATGCGACATACGTGAAAGACCACTACTGCTCATAGGACAAGACAATATAAGGCTAACTGTTCCAAGAAGAATATCCCAAGGACCTGAAGACCTACCTATTGCCACAAAAACAAATCTTGGATGGATTTTACATGGACGGGCAAATAGACAGCTATCTGAAGAACACTTCACCTTCCACATATGTAGCCAAGAGGTTTCTGACAATGAACTTCATCAAATAGTGAAAGATTCATTTACTCTTGATGCGTTTGGAGTGAAACTTACCAAGCAAAATAATGATAGAAACCATTTGAGGGCACTGGAAATACTTGAAAAGACTGCAAAGCGCATTGACGGAAGATTTGAGGTAGGGCTCCTATGGAAAAGTGATGATGCAGTATTACCAGAAAGTAAGTCAGTAGCATATCGACGTCTACTATGTATAGAGAGACAAATGCAGAAGAATGAAGTTTTTGGGCGGAAATACTGCGAGAACATTCAGGCGTACCTTGAAAAGGGCTATGCTCGAAAATTGTCCGAAGAAGAAGCATCAGTAGAAGGTCCAAAATGCTGGTATCTGCCTCATTTTGGAGTTTTTAACCCCAACAAGCCGAATAAACTGCGGCTGGTTTTTGATGCAGCCTCTAGATCCCATGGTATTAGTCTCAACGACAACCTTCTTGCTGGACCAGATTTACTACAATCGCTAGTAGGTGTTCTCATGAAATTTCGTCAGAGGAAAGTAGCCTTTTGCGCTGACATAAGAGAGATGTTCCACCAAGTGAGAATCCGTTCTGCCGACCAAAGTTCCCAACGATTCCTCTGGAGAAATGGAGATCAATGCCAAAACTGTGACATTTATGAAATGACAGTCATGACTTTTGGTGCCACATGCTCACCGACCTGTGCACAGTATGTTAAAAATTTGAATGCCAGACAATCGACCACTAACATCAGTGTTTTGAATGCCATTACGAAAAAACATTATGTGGACGATTACCTCGACTCTACCAATACAGAAGATGAAGCACTGATCCTGATTGACGAAGTACGACGCATACATAAACTGGGCGGTTTTGATTTAGTGAGTTGGACGACAAATTCGAAGAAACTCATGATGAAACTTGCTGCAAAGGAGGAATTTTGCAAGGATCTGAACCTCAGTGATCAAAATAATCTTCGTATTCTGGGTTTGATGTGGAACTCTGTTGAAGATCGCTTCATATTCAAAATCAAGCAGGAAATTGTACATGACCATGAGAAGAGACCTACGAAGAGGCAGATTCTGAAGACT